ATGTTGCAAATCCCTTGGGCGCTGAGAGACGGGCTTGGATGGATGAAATGTAGCAAGGCAGGAGCAGGAAGGTGTTGATCAAGGGAGGGCATAGGAAGCGGACGCCGAGGTGAAGATGGGAGGGATTGGGAGGTTCTTAAAAGAGCAATAGCCGGCTGGGATGCCCACAGACCTGGTAACGATCGATCTGACTATGAGTTGGCGATGATTAGTGACTGAAGGCCGAAGACGGAATGCTAATTAATGATGGTCTGCGAGGGTGGCATTCCTTATATGGCCCCCACACGCACCCACACCGAGATGTGATGAGGATGGGACTAACCAAAGACCCCAATATCGCCCGCAGCTTTGGCAAACATAGGCGGTACCTATGTCATCGGCAGAGTGAACACACAAACACACACGCGCCCCCCCCTCAATTTGCGTCAAGTCTGGGTGATCAAAGGACGGAACGAGAGCTGAGAAGGGGGAGTTGCAACTTCAGATGCTTTGATCCATCGTGTACATGTGCTACCAACCAGATAGATTGTAACGGCACGTAGCCGGGTAGCGCCTGCACATATTACCTTTACCTAACACACATACCTTACCTTCCGTACCTTAGCCAAGATGCTGTTGGTGGCAGTAGCGTAGGCAGCGCGGGAAGAATGTTTCTCGCAAGGTAGGTAGGGCACGGGTAAAATACCGGTGCAATTTGGTCAGCGGCCAGTGAGTTAAGCCTATTTCAGCATACATTATGTCAGCGCCTACAAAAACAATATTCTGACCCTACTGACCAATGAAAAGGCCAAGATTCAGAAAGTTACATAAAGTTAAAAACTCTTTAGATTCAAGTAATTTAAAGTTAAAGCAAAATAGAGGTAACAGCTATAATTTAAAAATTTATTATATTATATAACCCCTTTAATTAAAGTGTAATACTCTTATTATAATAGTAAGTTTATATATATTACTATTACTCTTTAAAGGTTAAATATAAGGGCTTAATTTTATAGATTATAGGTGTCTATTAGTAATAGTAGATTTATAGTAAAAAGGGCGTTTTTTATATAGGTTATAGACGTAGGTAGTAGTAGCAGTAGCAGTGGCAGTAGCAGTGGTAGCAGTGCCTTCCAAAATAGGCTTAACTCACTGGCCGCCAACCAAGTTGCACCGGTATTCTACCTGTACCCAGGTAGGTACATGTCGAACCTTCCATTCAAGGGGTGACCCTGTGGGCCCTGTGCGACTGGGGGAGAAGAGACGATGAAGGACAGGAGGGGCGGGGAGTGGGAGCAGGAATGATCGAGAGCATGTCAAAGAGACCGGCCAGGATATCCCTCTGGCTCGAGCTGTGATAGGCAAGCTTAACGTTTTGAACTCAATGACGGCGCCTGTCTATCCGCCTCGATAGCCAGCGGACCTTTACTCTCCGGGCACCTCGGTTACGAACGCTCACCCCATCCGCCTCTCTGTATTCTGCACACATTATCTCTCTCTCCCTCCTTACACAAACATGCACACACTGGTTGGAAGGGGGCCAGGCATTAACACCGAGGCTTTTGGTAACTGAGCTGCAAGTGGAAGTTAAGGAGGAAAGAAAAGAGCCCGCAGATCACGGAGGACCAAAACCCCTGGTTCAGCCCGACTGGACATAGCACCCCTAGTTGGGGGCTGCGTGCCTGGCTCCGTTGGCCGCATCCAAGACCGAGATCGGGTTTGCCCCGGGTTACTGCATGCCAGCCGCCAAGAAAACAATTTATTTAGGCGGCTGATAGTGTCTGACTTTGTTTCCCCATGTGCTTCTGCACTGCGCCACCTGAGAAACAAGCCCGTCATACACTATTACCCGCGAAAGCAGTCCCTGCCAACGCAGAAATACCTACGCATGCCAGGGTCTGGACGAGACAGGCCAACAGTCATCCTAAACCCAACAGCGAGCACAGCACAGGACAGGACGGACTCGGGGGCTTGGTCAAAAGGAATGCGGATATAGATAGCTGCGCTTTTCGGAAACGCATGCAGGTGGCCGCCTGAACGGGCGAGGCAAGGCAAGGCTGACTGACCGACGAATCCACCCGTGGATAAAGAAGTGGGAGTAAGTACAAAGGCCATGCAGTCAATGAATGGTCCTGTATCCTGTTTTCTGTTTTCTGTATGCCAACCCAACAGGCCAAGGAGGGAGGGAGGGCTACCTGGCCTGTTGGTTCGGGTCCTGCTGATAGTCACGGTACCTAGACGACGTCAGGAGCACGGGGTGGGCAACCTCGACAGATTTGCTCAGACGCTGCGGCCGCATTGGGCGTGAGACGGGGCTATGCGATGGGATGCGATGATGATGGGACGGATGGGAGAGAGATCTACTACCACCAACCAAGTGTGATACGAACACAGATGTGTAGGTCTTCGTAGAGTGGAACATGGAGGTGGGGCCAGATCTCCCGGCATCGCTTCAGCTTCAGGCCTCTATAGAACAAAAACTTGGGCGGCAGGCTGCAGCAGGTGCCAACCTGCCCCCATATCTACCCGCCAACACGAAATAGCGCGCCGCTCATACCCTGGGAAAGGCGAGCAACTGTCGCAACTGTGCCGCTGCATCCAAGCGCGCTGTCTACTCCGCTCAGATGTGACGACTTCTTTCTACAAGGGACCCATATCCATCTTGTTTGTTGCCTTGGTTGTGACCAAGACGCCAACCGCAGCCCACGATCATGGTCTGCACAAAGGGAATCGCAGCCGAATAAACCCCTGTGGAGGTGAGGGTCTCTACTTTTTCTTTCTTTCTTTCTTCTTCTTCTCTTCTTTTTCTTTTTGAATTATCTGGAAAGCTGCATCGCCTAACGTAAAGTTCTACCCGAAATCATGTTCCATTTTCCACATGTTTCCAGGAACGGTAATCCATCGGAAAGCAACGTCCTTTGACTGTCCTGCTTACTGCGTAGGGCCAAGCCAACTGGCACATAATGACCTGTCGAATTCCACATCAATTCGTTACCACCGCTGTCCCCTCCCACTATAATGATGCTTCCATTCCAGCTGCTCCCGCCAGCTCGCGAGCAGCAGAGTGGCCTTCGTTGTCACGCCTTGGCCAGGCACAAAGCATCCTCCGACAGCCAATCCACGGCGCAGAGATGCCGTGTGGGTGCCCATCTGAGTGGGATCTGCGGATCTTCCGTCCCTGTGTCGCTCCGCTAATTTGTTTCTAATAATTGCATGTCGCATGCTATTATTGACTCACCCATGTTGCCATGCGCGGCCGTTGTGGTTGGCTGACGAGGGTTGAGTGCCTTGCCCAGCCGAGGGGCAGCGTTGCTAGCGCTGGCAAGCCGGGAATTCTGGGCGCCAGTGCCTTGCAGATCGCTTGCGACTCGGCGAGGCTCGATTGAGCCCTCCGGTGCCGTCACCGCTTGCAAGCCTTAGGCTTGCCGAAATGTTGCCTTGACAAGTCGCAGACAAAGTCTGGTCGTGGGATGTTGCTCCGACGGTTGAATTGGCATGGAAACCACAGATGGCCATGTCCTGGCTTGTGTTTTAAGAGCGAGCCCGCCTGCTATGGGCACGATCATCACTAGCTAGCGCACGTCTGCCATGCTTCTTCAGGAGATAAGACGTTGAGGGCATAGCGAAATTCGGCTGGCAACCTCTGCACAATGTCCAGCTCCAAGGGAGCCACTCCTTCGTCCTATGCTGTCAGAGTGGGAGCCTGTCCAGGGCACCCTTTCGATATGCAGCATTGGCGGCTATCGTCCGGACAAACAATCGGCACCTCTGTGCCATCATCATCAGAAAGTTGACCTGCCTGCCGACATGACGAGAAAAATCGATATTTCGGGAAATAGTCGCGGAGCTAAGGGGTGCCATTCCTCTTTTGGGGAACATTCGGAGAGGCTCCATATCACGGCTCAACACCTACTCTGCGTCGAGTGATGGTGTGCACTGTCGACGTTTCGCTAGAGCATATGTTGGGCCCGAAGACAGGAAAATCCCTCCGTCTGGGAGATGGGCCACCCGTCTGGGTCAAAGACGCTGTTTCAGCATGTCATATCACCGCCCAAGCGACGAACTCATCAGTCCGTTTGCTCTCATTAGGCCTGCTCAAGGTGTGGGCCACCCGGGAACCGACGCTGCGTTCCGTTTCCTGTCAGGCAAACAGCCACATCGAGTGACACTGCCACCTCTCGAACGGTCATTTCTTGGCATTCCATCCCTCGTGCAACCGTCGGACGTTGGAAGAGCCTCCCATTAATGACATGGCATCGTCTGCCAGTGTCAGGTGACGGTTGGCTCGTTTAGCTCAGACAGGCCTCGGGCTCGACGTTGGCGTGCCGAACCTCACCGCGCCCATCGACAACTTGGATACTTTTGGCGCTGTGTCCACTCGGATAATCAATTTTTGAAGGGCACCTGCCTGTGGTTTTTCTACGTTTATATTGTCCAGGGCTACTGCAAGACAGGTGTGTTTCAGGCCTCAAGAGTCTTGGGCAGACGAAACTGCTCGCCGACCTTCCGGATATTAAAGTGATTATGGTTCGCACATGTCTAATACCGCTTGCCGTTTGTATGGACCTGAAGCGTCCAGGGGCCGTAGCTGCTGGAGGCCATCGTGTTGTCCAGCCGCATGATGCACCCGAAGAACGCTGCAGTGAACGAGACAGCAAGATGGGAGTTTGCGGGGACGGTCCGATGCGCCTTCGTACCCGCAAGGGTTGATCTCCGTCTGGTCCTTTCCAGTGAGGAATTCGGGCAGGCTGAATGGAAAATTGTTGACCTTAGGCGCGCGGAATGCGATCCTAAATCCTGAGCTGCTTGAGTGTAGAGGCGACTTTGTCGGTAGCTGCACAATGAAGGCCTGGGCGGGAAGGTCATAGCCAGTGGTAGATGGACTTCGGGGAAACAATTTCCCTCTGTTTCGACATGTGGCTGGAGCTCCCCCAGCCTGTGGCTTGCCCTCCAATATTGGCCTGGCCGTTCAGGCACAATAATTGGACGTCACCGAACTGGTGTGGAGCTTGGCGACAAAGCAACATCATCGCGAACATTACTCCACGAAGATTACATATCCATCACGAAGAGCCAGGCTTGCATCTCCAGCACATCACACATATCAACCGGGAGACAAAGCCTCCGTCGAATAAGCCGCAAAAATGAAGCCCGTCGTGAGCGCCATGCAAGCATGGCAATGGTACGCCCCCTTCCGAGATCGAAACCCTTTGGGGGGAATGCTGCAAATGCTAACTGCTCGTCCGTGTCCACAGCACCGTCATCTCCGTTTTCGCCATTGTTATCCTTGGAGTCCTCGGTGTTCTGTTCAATCAGAACCACCCCGAGCTCGTTGGTAGCGAGGATGACCCTAAAGATGGCAGCGCTGTCGCGAGCACCATCTTTATCTCTGTGCTGATCTACATCGTACGTTTAACCATTCTTGCTACGCGCGCGTACACGGAAATCCATAAGGATGATATCCCTCTAACTGTGCGGCGTAGGGCTTCTTCATCTTCTGTGGTCTGCAGGGCCTCCTTCACGTCCGCGAGAATCGGCGAGGCGCGATCGCATTGTAACGATATAAGAGAAGGGAAGAGAAATGTATGGCATCGAAAGACATAACGGTTTCCTGGCGTTCGGCATCATGTTGGTTTTTGCGCGGGTCGACTCGAGTCCGCATTCAGTTGAGACGGCTTCTGCGTCTGAAGAGGGTGGGAGATAACGTTACCCAGTGGAGGCTGGCCAAGGTCGCACTTGGGACAGGGCGTACTGCATCATTGGGCGACAACACTGGTTTCGATGTACGAGATTGAGAGGCTCGCGGGGAGTCGGGTATATAATAAGCGGTTACAAATTCTTGAGGAAAGGGTACGCAAAGGGATCCTTTACAAGAGGCCTCAGGTCCGCTACCGAAGCGTTGACTTGGGTTGGATCGCCATTCGGTGTTTGAAAACACATTGATAGACCCGGGCGCTCGCATGTAAACAGGTCAACAATTCATCAGGTTCCGTCCATGAGATGCGTAGAGGTTGTGAACAATATGTAAAACTTCGTTCTAGCTTAATCGCGGTACCCAATGAGCAACGCTGAGGATAAGGACTTGGGTGGCCTCGATACATGAGGGCCCACAGTCTGCCAGGCATCGTTCGGTCATGGGAAAGTATGACAAAAGAAGGTGCCTCGAATACCAAGGCATTTTGTGATTGCTTCTCGACAACCAAACTCACGTCAGCCAGTGCATCACTCCCGTCACGTCATGACGTATACTCCCACAATATACCATCTTGATCAATCTGGGAATCGCCAATGTGACCAAACGTGATGCTCGTCCGCTCGTTCACCTGCACCCGCTCTTTCATCTTCTCCTGCCTCGGCCCCTTTCCTGGTCTAGGATCACTACCAAAGGTAAGCACTGTTGGATCTGTTAAAGTCCATCTCCACGAGCTTTTCGTTCATTGGTAGGTCCGTTTTGTATCTCCTCTGAATCATCGTTGGAGGCTATTGAGGTTGATGACATGTTGTGAATTCTTGTGCGACGTTCTTTTGTTTCCGAACCTTGCAAGCTGTCGAGCAATCGCGATGCCGTTTCGGGTTTGTCCCCTGTTCATCTCTTGCTTGGAAAAGTCCCCAAAGTGACGCGTAAGTTGTCTCCCTTCAGCTCTTTGGGGAGATCCGCCGATCAGCTAAGAACACTGGTGCAAGAGGGCAGCTATGCCAACCCCTCTTGACCGAGAAAACCAAAGTCCAATCGACCAGCGTTAAGACTTGTTGAGTGCTCTATGAAGATGTATGTAGAACTTCAAGGATTCGTTAACCGTACTAGCCCGACTATGGGGTGTGATATAGGTAGCACCGCAACATGCGAGGACACACAAAAAAAGGGGGGGGGGGGGGGGGGTTGCCGGAGTTTTCTGTCCAAGATTAGCCATTCCGTTGCTCAAAGTAGATACCAGCCTCAACCGGACTGTTGAGTCTGGACTCTTTGGTCTTTCCCTGAGGTGATTCGAACCTCGAGACTGGTAAAAATACCAGCGGATCGCAACCAAAAGTGATGTACATGACGATCACGGCCAGAACCATTGCAAGGAAGTACGCCAAGTGTCGCAGATACACGCGACCGGGAAATGCTAGCGGGGAGGAGCAGAGCAGCGGTAGGCATCATCACTCTTAGCCATGAATAACCATAACGAAATGGCTGGATCGGAAGACTGCCGACGCTCGCCTCCTATCCAATGAACCACTCCCAGTAGCACGACGTACCGCAGATGTCTGAGGACGCCCCCGAGACGTCACAAGACGCCTGCAAGTCCAGAAACAGCCCGAGGAGAAGCAAAGCTGGTGGTAGCAATATAGAGACGGCTACTTATGTCAATAAACACATCACAAGCATGTACACTTCTAACAGGGCGTCATATAACTCCGACGGCGCAGTGATACGTCCGTAGGGCTCTTATGCCAACCTGCCGCATGAAATCGCCAAAAGATGAAACACCCTAAGGCGGCACCAAATTTCCATCAAATGATTCAGAAGTAGATCTTGGGTCCCACATCTAGAGATTTTAACATGAGCTGCGCAGGATCGTGAGGCTGTGGCCAGCAGCAGTTCGTGGGGGTCGTGGCCCACGGTGACCTCATGAAGGACGCATGTTGTCACGTTGTGATTCAGCGTCGCTAGGCACAGTGGCTTCCGGCGTTTGTACTTGAAATGTCTTCTGACATCGAAGAGGGAAAGGGAAAAAAGGCGGAGCAGAGTATTATCCAAGTGACGCGGACATGGCAGAAGGCATCATATCGTTTTGGGGGCGTTGAGAGGACTTGGCGAGAAGAGTGCGAATGAGTGGCTCACTCATCGTTCAAGGCCCTGTTGGAGCTTGATTTAGGACGGGGTCAAGTGGTTGATAGACACTTTTACTTGGTTTGTGGGTATTTCATTATTCAACTTTACCTATCTCTCCAATATTTCTTGGTAGCCGTTAAACATTGCTAAAAAGGTATTGTCGTGGCTTTTGTTAAGTTCGCAGCCGCCCTCTCAAGCTTGAGAATGATCCCGAGTTCGTTGCGACCTTTACGCCGATCAGAATGTCTCGGGCGCTTCTACACATGGTGCTATAAAGCGGGAAACATTACAGACAATGTTGGTCTGGTCACGTGGGCCACTGCCAGCCAGATATCCAGCCTCTTCACCTTGCCAGCCAGCAGTCCTTTTCCTCTAGTTACACATCACTAATATCAATAGATATTGCCTTGTTACTTGCCGCCACCCACATTACCTATAGGTTATAAGCCTAGGCCTCTACCTTTTCTGACGCTATTAAAGCTATTTAGACCTTTTTTTTTTATAATAAATATCCTTATTAATTTTAACTATAATAAATCCTTAGGGATTTTAACTATAATAAATATCCTTACTAATTTTGTATAACTAACTAGTGCTTCTGCCTAGTTAGGCAACTATAACAAGGATTTCTTACCTTTGCTATAACAAGGATTTTTTACCCTTATAATAACTATAACAAGGATTCTTACCTTTATAATAATAAACACCTATTATAACAAAGGTCCTTTGCCTTTACTAATTAACTATAACTATAGCTCCTATTATATTTTACCTTACTAGTCTTCTTATTCTCTATAGTAAAAAGAACTATTACTACTAGCTGCTTACTATTAAGGCCCTTCTTAACAAGGACAACCTTTTTAAGTATACTAAATTTAATATCCCTACTTTTGCTAATAACTATAAGCAGTAGCAGAAGGCCTAAGCCTTAGCCTATAGCATTATTATTAATAGTATTAGGCCTATCCTTTTTTGCCTTAAGGGCTCTAGTTAGACCCTTAAGGGCTACTACCCTTATAAACTTATAAGTAAGCTTAAAACTATTATCCCTTAGGTGTCTAATAATACTATTATTAACCTTATCTATAACTATAGACGCCTTAACGTTAATAACTCTAAGGATCTCTTTAAGTATCTTAAGACCTTTTATACTATAAGCTAGAGTATTAATAGACTTATTATTAACTAGAAGGCTATATACTTCTACTTTCTTTTAAACTTAATTTATAATAATAGTACCCTATTTAAGATCTTTAACAAGTATACTACTATTAAGCCTTAGGAGGCTAACCTCTAAGATCTACTTAATAACCTCTATTATAAAGCTAACACTATTAGCTCTATTATAGCTAGTAAGGCTACTCTTATTAAAGTTAAGGCTAAAGATAGTATTATATATACTTATTACAGTGTTAACTATACTAGCAGCAAGTGTTATTTTACCTATCTAGAGCTTATCCTTATTAATTACCCTTACTATAAGGAGCTTTATAAAAAGGCCTATTACTATTACTGCACTAATGCCTACTAGGACAACTGCCCTGCCTCTGTCTTTATTAGAGGTGCTTTTAGCGCTCTTAGAGGATCTTCTATTACTAGATAAGGCCATATAAATACAGTTTTAAGGGGAGGATTTACATTACTTAAGGGGAGGATTTATGTATGATAGCAGTCTAGCCAGGCAGAGCTAAGGGGAGGTGTTAGTCTAGTCACGTGGGCCACTGCCAGCCAGATATCCAGCCTCTTCACCTTGCCAGCCAGCAGTCCTTTTCCTCTAGTTACACATCACCAATATCAATGGATATTGCCTCGTTACTCGCCGCCACCCACATCACCCACAGACAACGAGGAGAACTGATCAATGTTGTTGCATTGGAGACTCGGACTCGGAAGTATATAGATGTAAGAACGGCCTCGAAAGGCGGTTACTTTTCAATGCGATAACAGGCCCGTTTCACCGAACTTCTCATAATAGACGGAAAACATAGGTCGGTTCCGAGTTTTTGGTTATTCTTGAGTCGTCAATTCATTAGATATCATGTGTAGTCGAGATCAAGCTACCTAGCTAGGACATGTACAGCTAGCTTCCACTGCCTCAAGACAGTACACTCTCAACTCCAGAATTCACCTTTTATAATCTGCACATATGGGCAAGGCAAATGAGAAAACACACAGCGCATCCACAAAGTGGGATATCAACTGCACGTCGCCCTACGGCCAGGGACACCTGTGCTGTCCGACTTCTCCCCTTCATCGCCTGCAAAACACTCGGTCGATGGGAGGGAAGAGTCCTTGGACTGCGACAAGATGTCGATAGTCGTCCGGACGTTGATCACCGGCCGATTGGTCGAAGCCTGAGGCTCCTGTACGTAGTCCCTCTGTCCGAAGTCAGAAGACGGCTGCGAGCCGTCGTGCTCGGCGTCCTCGTCTCTCTTGTCGTCTCTAATCTCGGTCTGAACTGTCTTTCTCAGTTCAATTTCCGAGCCCGTGTCGGGCAGAGTTTGATCAATGTCGTAGGACGCCCGTTCCGTGTAGTTGAAGCTGTCCAACTTCGCCGCTCTGGCGCTGGGTATTGGTAGCTCCTTCTTTCCATGAGAGTCATCTGATTTAGCCCAACCTGGCCCCGAACGGCGGGAATCCTTTCCCTGGCTGCCCCATCCAAAGCCCCAGTTTTGGAAGAGCGGCCGCAAGCTGGGCACCGTGGCCGCGATGATTCCGAGGGAAGGTTCCATGACACTCCAGATGGCGACGTCGCTGTCGGAAAAGCATGATTAGTATGAGCGGACGGCTACGGTGCGCTGAGCTAGAGGGGCTTACATTGTCTCGTAGAGAAAATCTGTCGAAATAGCCAAGTGCCTGACATAAGGTATACGGACCATGAGGGCGACACCGGCGCTGCAAGAACGTTAGCAAAGATGTCCAAAGTGGGTTATGTCTAGCGGGTTCAGCTCACATCATGCCCATGCTCAGGAGAACGGCAACCAACGCCTTGGTACGTCGGTTGAGTTTGACGTCCCACAAAAGGGCGATGGGCAGCAAACCCATACACCAGTCTGATGTGGCCGAGATGACGCTGTGGGCAATGGTAGCGTCCGGGACGATGTTGAAGTTGATGCATGAGCCCTTATCCCCGTACAACTGTCTCCAGAAGTAGGACGGCGGCATGCACTGGAATGTCATGATGACGAAGAAGGCGATCGAGATCATCCAGATAA